TTGCTTTGTTACTGTCTGTTTTCGGCAACGAAGCGCCACATCAGTCGACAATTTGTATGGAGAAATCAAACGTGGACGGGTGAGGCTTAGCGACGACCCCAGGGTGGGTGCACCAAATCGGCAGTCACCCAGGAAAACGTCGATGCTGTGCGCAAACTCATCATTGAAGATAGACATGTGACATATCGCGAGGTTGAGGCGTCCTTGAAGATCTCAATTCAAAAAATTTTACATGAAGAATTAGGAGTAAGAAAATTAGTTTCTCGGTGGATAACCCACCTGTTGACTGGAGAGCAGAAAGCAGCCAGGGTTAATTGGTGTCAAGAATCGCTTGACCATTTCAATTCCGGAAACTCAAAAAATGTGTACAGCATTGTTAGTGGTGATGAATCGTGGATTTACTGTTATGAACCAGGAAATAAACGACAGTCGGCTGTTTGGGTGTTTCAAGGTGAAGAAAAGCCAACAAAAGTCATCCGTTCTCGAAGTGTTTCGAAAAAGATGTTCGCGACATTTGTGTCAAAAGCGGGTTTTTGCAACAATTACTCTTAATGAGCAAAGAACTGTTACTGCGGATTGATATACCACCATTTGTTTGCCAAAAGTTATCACCGAGCTTCGAAAAATCAACCCCGAAAGAAGAATCATCCTCCACCAAGACAATGCAAGCTCGCACACAGCCCAAAAAACAAGGCAGTATTTAACGGAAGAAAACGTGGAATTATTGCATCATCCTCCACATATTGCCGATCTAAGTCCTAACGATTTCTTTACTTTCCCGAAAATTAAAAACAGACGGCGTGGTCAAAGTTTCCAGTCACCAGAAGAAGCAGTTGACGCATTCAAAAAAGCCGTTTTGGATCTGCCAGCAAAAGTCATTTAAAACTACCTACCGTGTTGTTTTATTTTCATATGCAAAACTTAAAAGACATAACTCGTATAATCAGATCAACCATTCTAAAAAAGCAGTAATAAACCTGATTTCATGAGAAACTCATAAAAACGCGAATCTGATGATGTAAAAATATATTGGATGTTGCGTTTTGCAGCATCCTGATAAAGTTGACGAACTTTTTCATGCTCTTTCCAAAATCCACGGAAAATTCAAAATGACAGAGCTCCCTTCAAGGACATGCATTTTCTTATACAAATGATAAAATAACGATCAAAATCATGCAGTAGATTTATATATTCTTATTGTCGAAAGATCATTCCAAATATCTAATATAATAAAGGGTGTTCCATTAAACAAACACACCTATAAGATGTCAATCTTGTTACGCAACCTGTTTCCGAATATCTTATGTAGCTCTTCTATTAAACCACTTTTTATTTTCGGTCCCTGAATACATTAAATATGAGTTAGTTTCCGTAATATGGTGGAGGCAGGCATACCCACAGTGTTAAGGCACCAAACTTTAAGACCCTGAATCTCCAACAGAAGGCATTTCTGATCTTCGCACCTATTGGAACATTTGATCAGGACAACATGAACTATCCTAACGAAGCTACAAAGTAATCGTAAACAGTGGTTGATTCGTGATCAACGCGTGATCGGTAGCCATGGCGCTCTGTCGGCCTCTTCCTGATTGGCTTGTAGCGACGAGCCTCCAGACAAAGTCGCACGGTTGCCACGCTCGGCGAGTTTTCGCCAGAGTGGTTGATCACATTCGCATGGATCACAAATCAATCTGTTGGTGCAATACGTGCAATAACTGTTGTAAAGGACATTATATAACAGTAAATGGCATCACAAAGGTATATTCCAATTTGATCTGCAGCAAATTATGAACGGCATATACGGAGATGCGAAAAAAAGCTCAAAAAGGTGAAGACAATTTTTGTGCAATCTTTATAGTTAAATTTTTCCTAAGAGATAGCATTAGTGAGGGAATTTTTTTCTATTGTCTTATTTTTCACATTAATGCGATGTCGAGGTATGTGGCCCTATCGCAATTGAAAATAAGGTTTCGATAATCCTTCCATAAAGTTTCGATGAGTACATCTGAAATAACCTTGAAATATTCTTCAGGGAAATATAAAAATCTCCTTTTGTGTTTTTTTGTGCAGATTTATCTATCAAAATCCTATCCGCAATCTATTTTCCGTGCACACACCTTCAACCGAATGTATGCCATATATGATATTACCGTTTCCAACTTTCACCAAGGTTAATAGGAACCATAACAGCTCCCTACCCTTCCCCCCTATAAGAATATCGATTTGTAGCCTCACATTTCAAGGTTAGACTTCTTGTAATGTTTCTGTTCAACATTCGGCGATTTCTGACAATTTTCCCAATAAAACATGATCATTGTGACATTAAGCCTGGCAACGCTGCATAGTAGAGGGAACTCTCAGCGTCACGTTGATGGTTCGTCACCACGCACAGGATTGTAATCAGTTACGGATACCCGTTTATGAGCGCGAACGTTTTATGCACGTCTTGACTTGATTTTTCTTGCGGAAATTTAATATTAGTCTAAAATGTCTGACACAGATACAGCTGATGAAGTGGTTGAAATCAGCTTAACGCCACCCAGAAAAAGGGCTAAAGAGCTTCATCTTAGCGCAGGTGAAAAACAAATTATTCTAAATATCTACAAGAACCAGATGCAAGAGAATAGTGGATTGGCTATAGAAAAATATCGTATGTAAGGTTGCTGAAATTTCTGGAGTAGGTCGATCAAGTGTTTACAAAATCTTGAAAGAATATAGACAAAATCACTCACTATCTGAGCCAAAAACATATCCAGCGAGAAAAAAAATCATCGAAAAAATAGATGACTTTGATAAAAGTGCCATTAGAAGAAAAGTACATCACTTTTTCTTCAGGAATGAAATACCTACAATAGATAAAATATTGAAGCAAGTGAATGATGATGAGGACCTGCCAAATTTTAAAAGATCTACGTTCCATAAGCTGTTGAAAGAACTAGACTTTCGATTTTTGAAAAGAGGAAGGAATAGTTTATTGATAGAAAAGGAGGAAATTGTTATCTGGAGGAGAGAATACCTTAGAAAAATTAGGCAATTCCGCGCTGAAGGAAGAAAAATTTATTATTTAGACGAAACTTGGGTGAACGCGGGGCATACGCAGGGAAAGGTTTGGGTAGACAGATCTGTGAGGTCCTCAAAGCAGGCTTTTTTAGATGGCCTTTCGACGGGATTGAAAAATCCTGCAGGTAAGTTTCGAAGTATATGAACTTTTTTGGATGCAGATAATTCATTTTCTGATCGAATCAATGATTTGGAAGCTCCGAACTCAGTTTTGCTACCTCATCCAAGTTTCTGAGTATTTCCTTCACCCAAAAACTAATCCAAGACCCTATCCTACACTAACCTAAAAAGAGTAAGTTGCTTAATTTCGTCATTTAGTGCGCTCGCTGAGAAGTAAAATAACTAATTACTTTCAGGCAAGGGAAAACGCCTGATCATTTGCCACATAGGTAGCGTAGATGGATTTGTTCCTGAAGCATTGTGGGCATTTGAATCCAAAAAAACTGGAGACTACCACGAAGAAATGGATGGTAACTCATTTGAAAATTGGTTCAAAAAAATTTTGCCGACACTTGATGATAACGCAATTATTGTGATGGATAATGCCCCGTACCACTCCAGAAAATTGGAAAAAATTCCAACAATGGCCACCAAAAAGGCAGACATTCAACAGTGGCTTGTCTCAAAGAAGATCGACTTCGACCAAACAATGGTCAAAGCTGAGCTGATAAATATAGACAAGCGACATAAGTATAAATATGATTTAAAAATTGTTGACGAAATGGCCAAAAACCAAAATAAAACGATTCTCAGGCTGCCTCCCTATCACTGCGAACTGAATCCTATCGAGTTGATTTGGGCCGACATCAAGCAATACGTGGCGTCAAATAACAGCACTTTTAAGTTTTCTGACCTTAAAAAACTGTTTGATGTTGCTGTCGATAGAATTACGCCAGCAAAATGGAGAACATGTATTGGCCATGTCCAAGAGAAGGTTGAAACCAAAATGTGGGATATGGACAATATCATTGACACCCAAGTTGAACCCCTTATAATTGACATCAACAATTCTGATGATTCAGGCTCCTCGGAATACAGCATATAAATCGATTGATACAATTAAGACTGGCAGTTTAACGGGCTTTTTGGCAAGACAGGTAAGTTCATTATAGACTGCAATCAAAGTGTAAGTTTCTAGTTATTAATGTGGAAATTCCAAATTTATAATTACACAAAATTAGGGTTAATTTAGGAGTTCCAAAGCATAATAGTGCCATTTTGACCTTCTTCCTATTTCTCATGTAAATTTTAATAGCAATCAAACTAACAAACTTTATGGAGTCTGTAATAAACTTTTGTACTACTACTACTACGTCTGTAGTTTCTATTTGCTCAAAAAAATTTGCTCTGCATTGTGAATGGAAGGTTGATTTGTAAATATTATTGGGTATATATGTAAGTTAATAATAAAATATGAACAATTTCAATTGAGATGGTCCACAAGTTTTTTTCGTGTACGTTTTAGTAACATTTTGCTGAAATGGTAAATACAGAATTTTTTGCACTGATTCCTAATGTCGAAACATGATTAGAAAGGCGTGGTATATTCCTGATAATTTACTATGCTTTTGATAGAATTTACAGCAACACATGTCTTGTACGACATTTTTTGATAGATCAGTCACAATAGCTTGATACGGCCCTGTAGCGTCTCCTACGGTTAAGTTCTTGATCACGTGCGTATATGTTTGGTTTTACTTTGTTTCTTCGATGGATACAGTTTAGATGAATTTTCTTCAAGATTGACTGCTGGTCGAATTCCATATGCTTTGTGTCTGATACTTTGACTAATGTGAAAATAACATCCATGGTAGTTTTTTGTTTTTGAAATCCAGAAATAATTTATCCCACTGAGCTCCCGTCCATGATGCAGTGGTACGTCAGTATTCCGCATTTTAAATTTTCTTTATTAAAAAAAAACTCAACATTTTTTTCTTCAGATTCCAAGAGGCTTTACACGGAAGCCCTCGAAATTGATCAATTTAACAAGAAAACGAATGCCAAGTTGTATTTTAACAGAGCAACCGCCTTGGCTCGTCTTATTAAGGCCAAAGAAGCCATATCTGACTGCACAGCAGCCTTGAAATTGGATGAAGGGTATTTGAAGGCTTTACTTAGGAGGGCCAAATGCTATATGGATATTGGGGAATATGAAGATGCAGTCAGGGACTATGAGAAGGTAAAAAAATGGCTCTGTACTTCCCATGCAATGCTAACCAATGATGCAGTGTTGCAGAATTTGTGAAGAACCTGACCTTTCATTCTGACTAAAATAGAGCGCCATTAGAACTGCGTGGTCAAAGGTTATAGTACCAGAAGAATCAGTTGACGCATTCAAAATTGCCGTTTTGGATCTGCCAGCAAACGAGTGAAATAACTGCTTCCAAAATTGATTCGAGTGCATGCAGATGTGTGTTAATGTTCGCGGAGAACACTTCGAAAAACAATAAAGTCATTTAAAACTGCCTACCGTGTTGTTTTATTTCCATATGCAAAACTTAAAAGACATCCCTCGTACAGGTGCTCAACGTGAAATTACATGAATTTGGAAATTGAGAATCAACGATTTCTTTGTGAAAAATCGTTGAGCAAAACCATTTTATTTTATGGAGCGCAGTTCTGACGCTGTATCGGGTCGCCCGGTGTGTTACGATGTCGAGATACCAGCACTTGGACTCGAGAGCGCGAGATTTAAATTCCGCCCTCAGAAATAAGGGTCTTGTCATGGTGATGGTCAAGAATGTAACTGTCACCTCGTACGAGGTCTCTAAATCATATTGTGTTCTAAAATTGAGTGACATTAATTTCGAGCAACTTGAGTCATTGTGACTTTTTTATCTTCCCGAATTAGGAAAATCACCTCAAGGAACTAATTTTGGGACAGTCGAAAATACTAAAACGGCTGTAACCGACCAGCTGAACGATATTCCGGCACTGCTATGAGGAGTGAAGGAACGATGTGTGGCTCCAGAAGGAACTAATTATGAGCGCGACAATGTAAAATTGTAATTATACTCGTATTTGAATGAAAAAGTTAAAATAATCAGTTTCACCACTTAACTTACAGACCTCGTATTTAAACACTAAAAATAAAACAAGTATCACGAATTAGTGGCTATTGTGTAATTTAGATCTAGATTGAAGGAAATCCACCGCTTTGTTTTTGGAATAATTGGCATGAAACTAGATGAATTCGCAGTTTCTGCCTGATTAACGTTTTTAAATGCAAATTTATTTAAAACCGTAGCTACAGATGTAAGTAGATAGGTCATGGAATGAAAAGAACACATAAAAAATGAATAAAAACACAACACTGCTTAATATAAATACAAACAGCAAAATCATCTATGGTACATCTGCATCTAAAAAAAAACAGCAAAGTGCTTAAAACACAATGTCGATCAATATGAAGACAAACTAACAATGAATTCCTCAAAGTTATCGATCAAAAGTTTCTTTAACTTGTCTTAAAAGTATTTTTAGTGCCGTAGGGAGACAGTCATAACAGTCTGTAACATGCATTTACAGGAATCCTTCAGCAGATTTCATTGCGTTCACCGGTGAAATAACTGTAACTGATGTTGATGTTGAGCTTTTCTTTGGTATACAGGGTTGTCCACCATTGGTAACTTTGTTATTAGTCAAATACAAAGTTGTTTGAATTAGCAAACTAGTAGCATTTTTAACGCTGGTAAAAATGAGAAATAAAAAAAAAACAATTGAGAGTCGTTATTTTGATTTTTATATACCTTGTTTTCAACAATATTGTCAGCCGTTTCGCTTAGGACTCGTTGAGCGAAAGTGTCCCACATATCTTGGGTGCCACGGTTGTTAAGCAAAGCAGGCCAGTTGACTTCAGACAGGGCTTGGTTAAGAGCATCGTTGTTTACAATTTTGATGGTTTTAAACTTATCGGTTGTAGAACGACTATTTATATTGAACTGGAGATAAGATAAAAGTGAACAGTGGTCAGACTTGCCAAAAGGTGGCAAATAATCTAAATTAGAAACTTATAAACAAAGTCGGCGTCGTTAACGAATATCAAATCCAGAGCGCTAGGCGTCTGTCCTTCCCTGAATCTCGTTGGACGATCAACAAGTTGAGATATGCTAGAGTTGCGTAGCAAGTCGATGTAAGCAGCAGAAGAAGAATTGCATTCAGGAATGGTTGACATAGGCCAGCTAATGTCACGTAGATTGAAGTCACCAGCTATGAAAATGTTGGTGTTTTTATTTAAGAGATCTGAAATGAGACTGCACAGGTCTGTGTCTCCCAAACAGGGCCGTGGCCGATATATGCAGCCTATCGTGAAGCTGAAATTTGGGCACCTCAATTCCAAAAATAGATTGTCAATGCCATCGAAAGGAGTGAAAGAGGGAGATACCTGACATGATTCTTGATATCCGAGATTCACTATTGTGTGTATTCCTGACAATCCTTTTTTCGTGTATGAAAATTCTTGATGGACAAAATTTCGTTTTTCAGATACAGGAATGTTAAAAAACTGAACGTATGGATCATAATCAGGGGGAATGGGAATAGAGCCATAATATTCCGGTTTTGCTGTTTCCATCTTCTATAGGGTGATCAAGATTCCATGTATTTGAGACTTCAGATTCAACGATTTCCTCATTCACACGGTGAATAGCCATAGAGCAATATTAACACTTCGGTCGGAAGCTCAAGGTACGAGCTTCGCCGTCAGTAATTACATTCTGAGCAATGGATGTAGCGGTGATGGTTGTGACTGTTCTCATCTGCCTCATATTAGTACATTTCATACTGTAACGATAAAATAAGTATCACAAGTCGTTGTATATGTATGCTGTGGTTTAGAGCTGGACTGCCGAGGATCCATCACAAAGTACTGCTGTTTTTATGTGTTATGTTCGGCGTTGCGCTGATATTATGCTCTTGCGAAGTTCAAATGAATCCTCAGATAACATGAGGATAATGTTTGAATTTCAAGAACTCGATATTTTCTCTTTCAATTATCATCTAAGAAGAAGAAAGAGGAGATGTTGATTTTTCCTTGGTTTCCGCCTTATTGACATTCCCCATAAATCTTCGTTTCACAGTTACAGGGTTGTTAAAAAAACTGATCATATGAAAAAATCAGCATCACAACATTACTGCAGAATTTGAAAGCAACAGGTATTTTACTACCCGCGCCACTGGCGAGGAAGCGTTGCAAAATCCCATAACTCTTGATCATTTACGATCCGTCAGCATACTGTGTTTCTTTTCAAAGATATTAGAAAAAGCTATTTGTCTCCAACTAATTGAATATTTAGAGATGAACAATTTACTTCCTGTACATCTGTCTGGATTTCGTGCTAGACACAGTACAACTTCTTCACTTCTCCATTTGACAGACAATATCTTAAATAATATGGATAAACGTATTAATACAGTTTTAGTTATGGTCGACTTCCTTTTTGGTCAACCAATATAGCGCGGATTTATCAATTGATTGTATTTTTTCCATTTATTATTAGCCCGCTTAGTTGAGAATTCGTCTAGTATAGAAGTAAAACCCGCTCAAGGTTTTTTGACGGTTCAGAGGCTCCTGATCATTTTCGAAAAAAACTTGTAGTAGCTGAAAATTTTGGGTTGGGAGTTGTAGGAGTAGAATATATTAATAGTGTTAGTATATTTATACACTTCCAGTCCTATTAGTTCTACGCATCTATCAGGTATATTGTTCATAGTGTAGCATGGCGAGGCACATTAACGCATTTTCTAAGAAATTATTTGGCTGTTTATGTCTCTTGAAATAGATGTCGAGATGCTAACATCTGCAAGTGGCCGAAGCCGTGAAATTTATAGCCCTCCAGCGGAAGCATTATTCTGAGAATGGGGGAAGCGCCACATAGGAACACATAAACATAAAGAAAAGGGTGCTCGTAAAACGGTAATGTATATAGGAATGAATATGATAAAATTAGTTGCTATAAAATGAAATATTTAACTGCACTGACGGAAAAGATGTTTTTGGTAGAGCTTTCCTAGAATCTAGATCAGAGGATTTTGTCTGGTACGGAGCAAGTAAACTGCCCTGCTCTCTTGTATACTAAGTGACATATAAATCCGAACACCCAGTTTAAATGGTTTTATTTTAATAAAAGTTGGTGGTAGAACAACAGACCGTGAAGATCGCCGCCTAAGATTATTGGCCTTAAGGGACCGTTTCTCCACTACCAGATCCATTGCAAATGTATGAACACGGAAGACCTATTGGCATGCGAAGTGTTTACCGTCGAATGAGAAGTTTTGGCTTGTTTTCATACCGGCCACACTGGGTCCTCCCTTTAACTCGAGAACACCGACGTAATCGCCTTGAGTGGTGCAGACAACGGTCACTCTGGGATCAAGAATGGAACAGTATTGTCTTTAGTGACGAGTCTCGATTTTGTTTAGGCATGCACGATGGTCGTGCCAGGGTTAGAAGGCGACGTGGTGAAAGGAGGAATCCACAGTTTTTTGTTGAAAGACATGTTCATCACACTGTTGGAGTTATGGTTTGGGTGCTATAGCTTATGGTTCCAGGTCACCTTTAATCTTCATCAGAGGTAACATGAATGCGCAGCGTTATATCCACGAAGTTCCAGAACCCCATCTTTTACCCTATCTTGACACCCTGGCAGATCCAACTTTCCAACAAGATAATGCCCGACCACATGTTGCAAGAGTCACAATAGACTTCTTTCAACATAATGATGTCACATTGTTACCATGGCCACCAAGATCTCCCGACTTATCCCCAATTGAGCACGTGTGGGATATGATGGGTAGGAGATTGCTCAATTTGCAACGTTCTCCTCAGACTCTAGAAGCACTTCGAGAGGAGTTGGTGGTTGCCTTTAATGAGATACCACAGGAGGACATTGACCACCTGATCAGAAGCATGCCTAGGCGCGTTGGAGAATGCGTAGCACATCAGGGTGCATCCACAAAAAGGTGAAGGCTAAAGTAG